TTTGTGTTATTTCCGTATCCAAGGAGGAAGACAAGACTCGTGTGAGGCGTTTATGCGCAAAGCTATTTTAGGTGTTGATATAAGCAATAAAGGGTTATTTGAACAAAGGATAAAAAGTTTAAGTGATGATGTCGACATTTTGGTAATGTTTACACCTCCTTGTGACGTCATCTTGGTGTGACGTCATGCAGCGCGAATATTCAAACCCGCCAATCGACAATTCTTGCAAGTGAAAACGTTATTTCGTTAACTGATATGATCTCACTCTAAAATATCTAGGCGCATTATGCTCTGACATATCACGTAAATTCGTGCGAAACGAGAGTTCAGGAAAATATCTCTAAATCTACCGGACAGAACTGAATACTGCGACACAATGTTAGTGCATATATATATTTGCTTCAAGTATTATAATCTTGTATATAATTATTAACAAATAAATGCATACTTATGATTATATCTGTCTTTCTTCCAAAAGGATATTAATGATTCTAATTTTCGACATGCCCTTTCATTCATACTTGTACATATATATAGACATTTAAGAATAGATATATATGCGTACTGTAAATCCACACACGCACACGTGAACGTACATACACACACACACACACACATACACACACACACACACACACACACACACACACACACACACACACACACACACACACACACACACATACACACACGCGCGCGCATGTCCATACATACATACATACATATATGTATACATATATATATACACACATAAGAAACAGAGAGCTTTAGCGATGGCCTTTGTCCTGCAGTGAAGAGATTACACACTGATATCTCTCACGCATACATACGCATATATGCCAGTATAGGATTTTGCACAGAGAGAGAGACAGAGAGAGAGAGCGAGAGAGCGAGAGAGAGAGCGAGAGAGAGAGCAAGAGCGAGAGAGAGAGAGAACAAGAGCGAGAGAGAGTGAGAGAGAGAGCGAGAGAGAGAGAGAGAGAGAGAGAGAGAGAGAGAAAGAGAGAGAGAGAGAGAGAGAGAGAGAGAGAGAGAGAGAGAGAGAGAGAGAGAGAGAGAGAGAGAGAGAGAGAGAGAGAGAGAGAGAGAGAGAGCATTTTATGCAAGAAGCTTTGTGATATAATCTTTAGTGCTTACTCTCGTCAAAATTGGATTATAAGCAATTTCTTTCCTATGATTACTTCACTCACATATATACACACTCACTCGCTCAACACAGACACACACACATACATACACATTCACACACTTACACTTACATATACACACACGCGCGAAAGAAAGTCAAAGTCAAAACACTTTATTCCATTAATTACAATGTTTTTTCTTTTTACATAGATTGTGACATCGTACAGTTATACAGAATAAATAGAAACAACAGCAAATATATTGGCAGGCGAGATACAGAATATAATTAAATAGAATTAGATGGTCATATCATTAGAAATAGAGTTACATGGTTTGGCTTTGCATGTAAATACCTTATGTCATTGACAATTTAAATGACGCTATTTTAATTTCTTTTTAAAAGTAATCAGGTTGTCTCAACGGGGATTTACTTTTTTTATGTGATATAAGTATATCAGTGTGTCCATCAATCCTTTGTGAATGTTGTCTATGTGTGTTTCGAAATCATGTATCTGTCTATGTATACTCCTAGATTTTTCACGGAAATGCTTGGTTTGATATGATGGCCTTCAAATTCTATGATTGTGTTTATGGGGATTTTGGCTATGTTTTATCGACTGCTTATAAAGATGTATTGAGATTTATCGGGATTTAGTTTGAGGTCGTTGTTGTCAAAATACATCTTTGCTTCTGTAAGAGTCTGTTGCGTATTTCTTATCAGTTCATATGAATTGCTTACAGGAGCAGCTTGAAGAAACTGAGGGTCACCGGCATATTGAAGGAGACAGTTGTTTGCAATGTTTGATAGATCGTTTATGAATATAGTGAACAAGATCGGGCCTAATATGGAGCCTTGTGGGACACCGAAAGAGACTGTTTTTTTTTTTAGTTGACATATTATTACGAGTTTTGATTGACTGCGTTTTTGTGGATAGATAACTTCTGAACCAATAGTTGTCTATTCCATGATTGTTAATTTTGTTAAGCAGGATTTTATGGCTGATACTGTCAAATGCTTTTGATAGATCACACAATGCGAGTAGATTTATTTGATTCTTGGTTATGTTAACATAAATTTTGTTTGTGATTTTTAGTAAAGCTGTTTCAGTGGATATCTTACTTCTAAACCCATGTTGCGTTTCGGAAATAAGGTGATTTGATTCTAAGAATGTTGATAGTTGATTTGCAATTTTTTTTTCTAGCACTTTATATATCACTGGGAGTAGAGTTATAGGACGATAATTGTTCAGTTGTTCTGCATCTCCTGATTTGAAAATGGGTGTTATGATGCCATGTTTCCACAGTGATGGGTAAGTACCGGTGACTATAGATGTTTTTATAATGACAGTTAAATAGAAAGCAATTGCGGGTTAGCTTTTTTTGATGAATCGAAACACAATGTTATCCACACCTACAGCATTTGTTTCACGTAAGTGTTTTATTGTTAAGACTGTTGTTTCCACTCCTGTTGGCTGAGGTCTGAAAACATTTGTTGAGAGCCTTGTCCTGGCTGTGTTTTGTGGGGCCAAGGAAGCAGCTGTCTGTTCATAGGTGAGTCTACCGATATTTGCGAAGTAGTCGTTTAGATGTTCTATACTACTAAAGGAATATAGGGACGTGTCTGTGTGTGTGTTTTTTTTTTTTTTTTTTTTTTTTTTTTTTTTTTTTTTTTTTTTACTAACGTTTTAACTGTTTTCCATGTTTCTTTGGCGTCGTGTTTACAATCATTGAATTTATTTTGAAAATAAATTGTTTTTGCTGATTGGATTAATGTTTATTTTGCTAACATTTCTCTTTTTTTTTTGTTTATACTCAGAATGAAGAGTGATATCAGTTCTATTTGTTTTGAGAAATATGTGAGTGTTGTTTCGGTCATGCACAGCTCTTTTAATGTCCTCACTTATCCATGGGGCGGGAGGGGGGGGGGCATCTAACAATTTTGGTCTTAAGGGGAGCAGTGGCATCTATACTATTTCTTAGTACGTTCGAGAGAATGTCTACTTATTTGTTAACGCCATCTATTGTAAGAATCTCTGAGAAGGCCGACTGTCTGGCACTAATATTTTGACAAAGTGATGGGGGGGGGGGCCGTAATTTGTTAGGTCACGGTAAATGTTTTTATGACAGGTTGTCGCTTGGGTGTCTTTATATCTACTGTCATAATTAATAGTTGATGGTCTGCAATTTGGCAAGGGATAACGTCAGTATACGTAATGAGGTCAGGTCTGTTTGATATAATGAGAGAAAGGGGGGGGGAAGAGAGAGAGAGAGAGAGAGAGAGAGAGAGAGAGAGAGAGAGAGAGAGAGAGAGAGAGAGAGAGAGAGAGAGAGAGGGTGGAGAAAGAGAGAGAGAGAGACAGACAGACAGGCAGACAGACAGACAGAGACAGAGAGAGAGAGAGAGAGAGAGAGAGAGAGAGAGAGAGAGCAATAGCAAGAGAGAGAGCAATAGTAAGAGAGAGAGAAAGTGAGTGAGTGAGAGAGGGAGAGAGAGAGAGAGAGAGAGAGAGAGAGAGAGAGAGAGAGAGAGAGAGAGAGAGAGAGAGAGAGAGAGAGAGAGAGAGAGAGAGCATTTTATGCAAGAAGCTTTGTGATATAATCTTAGTGCTTACTCTCGTCAAATTTGGATTATAAGCAATTTCTTTCCTATGATTACTTCACTCACATATATACACACTCACTCGCTCAACTCAGACAGACACACATATATACACATTCACACACTTACACACACACACACATCTCTTACCACAACATTCATTTTATATTCATTTATTTTCTTTTTTATCTCATCAAATGGTTAGATTTATGAGTTTTGCAATATTTTAGTGCCAAACTAGTCGATGAGGGATACAGACACTTAGGCTTTGAGGTGAACAGTTTCTATTCATGTGACGTTATAATTCTTTCAGAGAGGTTTATATATCCATGTAAAAGTATGCAAATTAATAAAATTTATGGAATGAACAGGTCGAAACCAAAGCTATCATTGTATAAAGCGAAATAGATAAGAAAGCTCGAAGTTTTTTGGGAAATTGGGATACGAACCCAAACGAAAAAAAATATATATATACCGTAACGTTTTAGAATTCAATTAAAGATTTTTAGTAGTTCAAATTAATTTAAAATATTTGAATTCAGTAACAACAACACTACGAAGCCAAAGCGAACATTGTTTTTCCTTTGCTGTAAAGGATGTTTACAAAATATCCGGCTCGTGAAATGCCAAACTTTCGATAAGGGATTGAAAGTTAAAATAGCTTCAGATTCTTTTTTGTTATGTAAGATATTAAGCTTAGATAGCTTCAAATCTCTATTCCAGTAGAATTTTTGCGGTTCGTTTGGAGGTTTAGATTTCTTTTAATGTAGAACATTAGAGTTAATGGAATTAAGGAAAATTATGAACTTTATCAGCATAATAACAGTGATAATGATAATGATACTACTACTAATAGTAACAATGATGTTGATATTAAAGATAATGATGATAATAATAATAATGATTGTAACAAGTGTAATAATAGTGATGACGATAATCATAGTAATAACATTAATAATATTAACCCATTGCCGCCGAGGAAAAAGAATAAATAATGGGGAAAATGAAGTACTCATTTTTAAAATTTTCGTGAAATATCTCTGTCCATAGATGGCTCTGCTAGTCCTGATTTCACCTTTCCTTGAATTGACGGGAAAGACGTATTCTTACTAGCGCTATGAGTATAGATGGTGTTATTTTTAATAGCAAAATAAGATAACGTTAAACATTTTCATAAATCGATGAAAAGGGTGAACGGGCGAGACAGGCAATACTCGTAATTGCAAGCAACATATCGAAGGGAAGTACAGGAAAACACCCGAATATGCCGAAG